TACAGGTGTGAGCCACCGCGCCCGGCCTGATGTTCCTTTCTTTACATAAGATGCAAATTAAATTCATTTCAAAGAATGAATTATTTTAATATTAATAGGTAAACTAAGAAAAACTGCTAAAAATTTCATTGGGAAACTTTCAACCTTTTGGGAGGTCAATCTTTGGAGTCAAACTTGGTTTGACTGGTTCTGTCACTTATTAGTTATTTATTGTTTATCGGTTATGTATTTTTGCCCCTCCCAAAGTTTATGGCTCAAAAAAATTAATATTATCCCACATAATTTCCATGGATCAGGAATTTGGGAGTGGCTTAGCTAGGTGGTTCTGTCTTAAGGTCCATTATGAGGTTGTATTCAAGATATTGGCTGTGGCTGCAGACATCTGAAGTTTTGACTGAGGCTAGACAGTCTGCATCCAAGGTAGCTCACTCACATGACTGCTGGCAGGAGGCCTCAGCTCTCTACCACATGGACTTCTCCATAGAGTTTCTTGAGCATCCTTATAACACAACAGCTGTCTTCTCCCCAGAGTGAATAATCCAAAAGATCAAAGCAGAAGCCTTTTAAAAACATAGCCTCATAAATCACACTGTTTCATTTTAAAAAATATCTTGTTGGTTACACAGGTCAGCCCTACTGAACATGGGAGGGAACTATACAAAAGGAAGCATATCAGGAGATCAGAATCATTGGGGACCATGTTGGAAGCTGACTACCACAGTACCCATCACTAACTTTAGTTCAGCCTTTTGCCCTTGTAAATAAAAAGTAACAGGAAAAACTCCACTAATTTAAGGTTTGTAAGATCCCTCCTTCCCATATTCAGCTTGTCTTCAGGCAATTAGTCAAAAACTACTCAGTCTGTCTCTGGGAATTTACTTTGAAGCTTTCCTGGAGAGAGGTAAAGGTAGGTCAAAGTGCTTACAAATTGTTTTCATGGGCCTTCATTTATTCCCTATATGTGTTGTAACAGAGCTGGCATACTATACCAAAGCCTTTGTAGGAAGTCATTTTTGAGGGATTATCACTGTGAGTTTTAAATTTCTTCTTTCCTGTCTTGTTCTTAGGAGAGATTTATATGACAAGATGGTTCCTAAAACATCGTATTCCTATAATTTGTAAGCAGTTACCATAGGCTTCCCAGCTCCTCAGATTAGTGTCTTTGGTCATATTGCAAGATGATTGAAAATGGACACGAGAAGTTCAAATAGCAAGTGTTCCATGGAGGGCATCCATTCTAGGTTTCCTCTTGAACCGTCACTTTATCACCACCAGAAGTGATGAATAAATGAAAAACAAATCTTATATGTAACTTGGCTGGTCTGCACTATCTTTGCTTCTTAAGAAGGGTTTGGGTTGATACTTAGGAAGATATTCTAAAATAATTTATGGGTTCTAGATATTGTACAAATATTTCTATTTGACAGAAATATAGCAACCACCTCCAATAAATTTGATTCTTAGGAAAGAGGTTAAAACTATTTGAGTTTCTGATTGAAAGGCAACAACATTAGGAAATTTTGATTAACAGAAAAAATTTGGGTAGGTTTTATTCTGAATTGCTTCAGTGATTTAATTTTCCATTGTTTAACTATGGAAACATGTGTGAGATATTTTCCCACTGCAGCCATACTAAGTATTTCATAAAAACTCTCATGAACAATGATAATCTATATAAAAATGAAAAAAAAAGGTTAAAGGTAATGGATCCCTACTTTGAAACTATATAAATATTTACCTCTGAAGAATAAAAATATAGAGGTATGTATTCTCCAAAACTAGGGCACAAAACTAATAGATCATCTTTTAAAATTAATGGATAAATTTCCTATAATGTTACCATTTTGCAATGGTCCAATACTGTCTTTTTTTTTTTTAAATAGTTCTTAGACTCAAGACTCCTCTCCTGTCACAAGAGTAAAGAGTAAGCTCCGCTCATTCTGGAGTAAGAGCATTCCTCCATACCTCCAATGGCACCCACCCTCAGCCCCTGAACACTCACAGCCTCACCACCATTATCTGTCTTGAGACCACCAGAACTAAATTCATTATACTTTTATCTCTATTTGTCAATAACCACAAGAAGCCTCAGACTACCAAATCATTTCTTATCACATAATAATTACCATATGGATCTTCATATCTTCTATTCTGTCTGCATTTCCCATCCCTCATCCAATCCTGAACCTTTTCCATTAGGTCCTCTGGA